GACGTTCCCGGGCTGGGCTGGGTTGCCCAGCGCCGCTCAGTCTGTCCCTGCCCGCCTCCCGGTTCGCTGGCTTACTATCTGAAAATGGTGAGGGGGACCCCTGACCTCCGAGAAAGTGTTCCAGCCTTGAGGAAGGACCCCTTTTACTCAATATGGAGGAACTGAACCCCAGGAAGACAGGTGCTCTTATGTGGACCCACTGAATCATCTCGACTTCCTGGAGAAGTGGGCCTGTCCTCCCACCTAGCCAGTCCCTGTGGGCATCTATTAACTGTTAAGCCTCCACCTGGCCACCTCCCAGTTGGGCAGCCTGGCCTCAGCCCAGCAGAGAGAGGGCTTGACAACCTAACCTGCCAGTGACAGTCACTCAGCCACGTTGGATAGTCCATTTGTTACCAACATGAGATACTGTCATTGTCCAGTAAGCACCATCCTCCCCGGCCTCCATCCTTTACCACAAAGGTCCCCTGCTGGCTGGACATTGCTTTCCAGTACCTCCACCCCCAGCCAGAGTCTGGTGCTCAGACCCACTGTTGCTGGGGGCACCCTGGTGTGTCCAGAATTGAGCGATACAGTGGAGACAGGTGAAGTCACTCCAGCCACCCAAGTTTCCTTCCGTTCCCCACTCTATTGACTTCCTTCTTGCTTGGTCACCTTGGTTATTAGGGAGTGGGCTCCAGTCTGTTGGGAGCCTGTGCCTGAGAACCTGCGTGTGTGTGTCTCACACTGTCCTCTGATCGTAGGAGCACATGGTGTCTATCATTTCATGGTCACAGGTGTCCGGAGAGGGCTATTCACTAAGTGATGGGATTGAACTTGGAAAGAATGTCGAGGTGTGGATGGAGTTGATGTGGGTATGAGTGTCTGTGTTTGCCCTGGCTGGGGGTCTACGTGTGTAACAGATTTATCAGGATATCACATGTGAGTGTCTGTCTGAAAGTCTGTGAGGGAGCTGTCAGTTGTGTGTGTGTGTGTGCACATGTTCACGCAGGCGTGTATGCACACATTACATCTAGCCCCATTGTTTACAGCTGGCTTTGTAAGTTCGCATGTCTCACTGTGTGTGTGTGTGTGTGTGTGTGTGTGTGTGTGTGTGTGTCTGAGCTGTGTGTGTGTTGTCTAGGGTAGGGGTTGTGGGTTGGGAGAGGTGGGTGAAGAGCTTGAGGCAGTGTCACAGCCCCTGGCTTGTAATTGGTTGTAGTGGGGCAGAGTTGGTGTAGATCTTCTGGGCCTGTCCTTGGTGTTTCTGACCCAGTGGAGAGAAATGGGGTGACTGGGTGTCAGAGAACAGATTGCCCCATACATCTCTCTGTGTTTCTCTGCTTGGCTTTGTGCCCCGCACTCCGCACTCCGAAGCCTGCTCTGTTTACCTCTTGCTTTGTGTTCCTCGCCCTGTCTCCCCCTGCCTTCTATCCTCTGCCTGTCTTTGTATCTCTGCCCCGGGCTCCTCTTGCTCCGTCTGGCTCCGATGACTCATCTGGGATAGGCATGAAGGTTACTCAGGGGAACAAGGGCCCCGCTGTTCCCGAGAGAGGTGGGGGTGGAGAGGAGCACCCAGGAATTCCAGGCTGGCTGCCTGGGGGTCCAGCAGCTTGCTCCCCTGTGCCAGCTTCTGGACCCCCAAGAGGCTAGGTGTAATGTTTCTGGTTCTAACTCTCCTTTGATACCCAGGTCCCCCCACAACTCAGTCAGCCCCCTCAGCTGCTGCTGGGAGCTGTGGGGGCTCAGCTGCCTCTTACATTCCTGCCCTAGAGCATTGTGGGAGCAACTGGAGGAGGACAAAGGGATGGGGGAGTATCCCCCACTCCTCCTACCTCCTGGGGTGACCTGGCTTCTGTGTCTTTAGACCCGCCCTCATCTCCAAGGCAACTCAGCCTTTTCCTCAGCCCTGCGCTCTTCCTTCTGAGAAAGCCCCCTTCAGAATTTGGGAACTGAATGGATAGGATGTTGGGGTCTTGGGAAGGCCGAGCAGGGTGTGGGGATGGAACACTTTGGACCTGATGGCAGAGGGGGTCAGGGTTGAGGAGTGGCACCAGGGCCCCGAAGGATCCCAGGGCCTGGAAAACTCAGTACAGACCTCTGCTGGGAAGAGGACAGGTCAGGATCACTTTTCCTGGGGCTGGGTCTGGGAGAGTGGATACCTGGGTCCATAAGGAGTTGTAGTTGAAATGCTTTTTTGGGAGGCAAGCTGCCTGGGCCCTGGTGAGGAATTCTCAATAGGCACAGATAAACTGGGGATTGTGTTAAAATGCAGATTCTGATTCAGCCAGTTTTGGGTGAGACCTGAGATTCTGCATTTCTCCCAAGCTCTCAGGTGTTGCCAAAGTTGCTGGGACAGGAACCATCAGGGCTATAGAGGACACTGAGATTAGAAGGCGCTGGAGTCCCCCACTTCTCTTAGAATTCTGGGCTTGTAGGTGGGGAGGGGAACAGAGTTTAGCCCAGTGTCTGGTACCTGGGAATCATTCTAAAAGTATAGCCAATGCTGTTAAACAATGCCTGTTGTCCTTTTACTGCCATTATACCCAAAGCAGCCCATTCTGTCTCTCTTGTTGTTGGCTGGGACCAGTCTCCCTGATCGCCCTTTAACTTACCCCCCCCCACCTCCACCCATTATGTCCCTTGCAGAGATGCTGCCCCCTCCTCCTTAGGCCTGAGGGATCCGGAGCTATGGGGCCAGGGGCCCTCTCATCTCTATTGCTGCTGCTGCTGCTCTTGGCGGGACCTGGAGATGCTGACATGAAGGGACATTTTGATCCTGGTGAGGAGACTGGCTCCTGAGGGATGGGGCTTGGGAGATCGAGTCGGGGGCTTTGACCTTCCATATGCCTGTCTTCACCCAGCCAAGTGCCGCTATGCCCTGGGCATGCAGGACCGGACCATCCCGGATGGTGACATCTCTGCCTCCAGCTCTTGGTCAGATTCCACTGCTGCTCGCCACAGCAGGTACCTGCCACACCTGGGGCTGCGCTGGAGGGAACTCCTGGGGCTTCTACTTGCCCTTCCAAACCTCTGCCCAAGCCAGGAGGCTTCTGAGAGGGCCAATGCTGATGAAACACCCATAGTACTGGGCAGGGGTCAGGAGGGTGGGGTTTAAATACTGGAGACAGAGGCAAACCTGGGGTCACATATTCCCTGTGACCTCCCACCCCTTCTCAGGCTGGAGAGCAGTGATGGAGATGGGGCATGGTGCCCTGCAGGGCCGGTGTTTCCCAAGGAGGAGGAGTACCTGCAGGTGGACCTGCGGCGGCTGCACCTGGTGGCACTGGTGGGCACCCAGGGGCGGCATGCAGGGGGCCTGGGCAAGGAGTTCTCTCCCAGCTACCGGCTGCGTTACTCCCGGGACGGCCACCGCTGGATGGACTGGAGGGACCGCTGGGGCCAGGAGGTGAGGCTGGCAGGGGCAGCGCCCAGGGAAGGTTGCTCCCCTCTCTCCTCCCTCCTCCAGCTGTACCACCCATCCGCTGATGACTCTGCAGTGTATACCCTCTCCAGCCCAAGCAGCTCCCCTGAGCTCCATCTAGTGTTGCAAACCTGACCGCTTTCCACCTAGATGTCTAATGGGCATCTCAAACTTACCATCAACTTCTCAAGCTGAACCTGGGTCCCCCTAAACCTACTCCTCCTCTCTGAATTCTCCAGCTCAGTAAATGGTACCACCATGGGCCCAGTTGCTCAGGCCATAAGCTAAGATGATAGCCCTGATTCCTCTTTTCCTCTCACCATCTCCTTCCAAAGCATCAGCAAGGCCAGTCTCTCCTCCACCCCACCCCAACCCCACCCCTGTGATATTTCCTGCATCTGACCACTTCTCACCACGCACCACCTCCACGTTTACTGCCCTAGGCCAGGCCCCCGCTGTCCTGGCTTAGATGAGTGCAAGTGTCTCCAAACTGTTCTCCTGGCTTCTTCCCTGAAGTCAGATCTCCACCTGGAGACTACATCCAGGGTACCGGAGAAAATGCAAAGCAAATGCCGCACACTGGCTCACAGCCCTCCGCTGGCTTTCCTCGCTGCCAGAACAAAAGCTGAGCTGTGTCCTGGGTGCAGAGGCTCAGCCTGTGCTGGCTCTCATCCACATCCCTTGCTCCTCTCCCCCAGTCTCACTCCACCTGGGCTGCGCTGATGTTCTTGCCATTCCTGGAACAAGCTAGGGCTCATCCTCCAGCCTCAGTACATCTCCCTTCACTTGCTGTTCTCTTTGCCTGGGAAGCTCCTCACCACAGCTGCCCACAGGCTCTCCTCCCTCCATTCAATTCTCCCCCCAGATGTCACCTCCTCAGAGAGCCTCTTCTGACTCCCTACTGTCCCACCTCCCACTGCCCCAGCCCCTCACGCTGCCTCTTGTCTCTCCCAGTGGACTCCCAGTCCTACTGGGGAGGGACTGCTGCTCACCACCTACAATTTGCCTGGCTGGCACAGAGTGAGTGCTGAGCCAGCCTTTGCTAAGTGAACAGAGGGAGTGGGGTGAAGGAAGAGGGGGTGCAGGGTGCAGAGTTGAGAGGGACTCATAAAATCTGGGCACAAGGGGATGAGCGGCTTAGAGACAAGTGACTGGAGCCAGGTGAGGGGTGGTGGGGGGCTGACACTGGAAGTTGAGGACAGACCATCAGACCAAGAGGCATCAGAGGTCACTGCTGTAGGCCCTTGTCTTGCAAATGCCTGGCTGTAACCCCTGACCCTGGGTGCTCAGTGCCAGCCTTCATGGGTCTCTCTGTGGGAGGGGCCAGGGAGCAGCTAGTGATGGAAAAGTTAGACCCCACCTGGAGCCTTTCCCACACATCCCCCACATCTGGCCCACAGGTGATCTTAGGTAATGAGGATCCTGGGGGAGTGGTGCTGAAGGACCTTGGGCCCCCCATGGTGGCCCGACTGGTTCGCTTCTACCCCCGGGCAGACCGGGTGATGAGCGTCTGTCTGCGGGTGGAGCTCTACGGCTGCCTCTGGAAGGGTGAGTCGTTCAGACCCCTGAGAATTTGTTCCTGTCCTGGGGGCTGGGGAGAGGGGCATCCAGGATCCTCTTTCTCTTGGGGAGCTGTTACTCTTGAGTGAGGAGGGGACTGGCCAGCATTGCCTCCTCCATGCCAGTAGGCTGTGGAGGGATATGAGAAAGGGGCCTGAAACCCACCCAGGCCCCACATGCCCCTAACACCCCTCCTCCCCCCGCCCCAGATGGACTCCTGTCTTACACAGCCCCTGTGGGGCAGACGATGTACTTATCTGAGGCCGTGTATCTCAACGACTCCACCTACGATGGCCACACCACACACACGGTTGGCGGGTAAAAGAAGCGAGCCCTGCGGGATACGGAGCCTGGGGTGGGAGGATGGAGGGTGGGGAGGTTGGTATGTAGTCTGCACAGTGAGAGAGAAGAACCGCAGAGAGAGATGATTTAGGTGGGCCTCAAGGGGCATGACCAGGATTGAGGGGTAGCAAGGTGACCACTAGCTCATATGATGCTTCATGTGAATTAGAAAAGGCCCTCCTTTGCTAAGACACTTACAGCCATTGGAAACTGTCCCAGTAAATACACACACATCATAGGCTGAGTGGTGCCCCTTAGAGGTGGTGCCTTTCTGCAGTAGGAGACTGCAAACTGCCCTGGAGAGTCCTGGCGGTGGGTGGGGGGCGTGTAGAACACCCGGATAGGTGACACTTTCTTCTCTTCCAACCTCCTCTTCCTCCACCCCCTCTCCAGGCTGCAGTACGGGGGTCTGGGCCAGCTGGCAGATGGCGTGGTGGGGCTGGATGACTTCAGGAAGAGCCAGGAGTTGCGGGTCTGGCCCGGCTACGACTACGTGGGATGGAGCAATCACAGTTTCCCCGGTGGCTATGTGGAGATGGAGTTTGAGTTTGACCGGCTGAGGGCCTTCCAGGCCATGCAGGTAAGTGCAGCCAGTTCCCAGGTGGGTGCCCTGGCGGGCTCGCTTGGCCCTGACCCTGTGTCCTTCCTCCCTCCCACCAGGTCCACTGCAACAACATGCACACGCTGGGAGCCCGCCTGCCTGGTGGGGTGGAGTGTCGCTTCAAGCGGGGCCCTGCCATGGCCTGGGAGGGGGAACCCGTGCGGCATGCCCTAGGGGGCAGCCTGGGGGACCCCAGAGCCCGGGCCGTGTCAGTACCCCTGGGCGGCCGCGTGGGCCGCTTTCTGCAATGCCGCTTCCTGTTTGCTGGGCCGTGGTTACTCTTCAGCGAGATCTCCTTCACCTCTGGTAAGCCCCTGGTCTGTGCCCAGTCCCCAATCTCTGGGACTGCCGACCCATAGTGCCCCCAGGTATCTACTCCTGGTACCATATCTGCTCATTACCCATGAAACTTCCCAAGCAGGGGTATCCCAAATAACTTAACCCCCCCTCCCTTTCTCCCCACCTGTCTTGGCTTTTCCTTTATGAGCCCCTCACTCATGACTGACATTGAACAGTAAGACTGTGTGGTTGTTAAAATACTGAAATATTCTGCGCTGGCTGAGAAACAGGCTCTTCTCTAAGCTTCCTGATACCCGGGGTCCCCACCCTGGGCTCTCCCCAGGAGTCCTGCTTCTCCCCACAATCCAGCACCTAAAAGGTAAACATCCAGCACAGCCACGCCCCTCCAGGATCCTGTTCCTACCATCTTGGCTGGTTGGTACATATACTGAGATCAGCCCTGCTGCTCTTCCTCAACCCTTGGTCTTGTGCAGGTGTGCCTCCCTGGGTCACCTCCTCCCTACCTCACCTCTCCTTTTTCTTTTCTCCAGATGTTGTGAATGACTCCTCCCTGGCTCTGGGGGGCACCTTCCCACCCGCCCCCTGGTGGCCACCCGGCCCACCTCCCACCAACTTCAGCAGCTTGGGTGAGCCACCCTGGGGCCTCCTCCAGGGCCTGTGGGTCCTGTGCCCCTAGTTCTCTCTGGGCCCCCCTCAGCTTAGGCAGGAAGCCTTCTGTGGTCCTGACCCTTCTGCCTCCGCCAGAGCTGGAGCCCAGAGGCCAGCAGCCCGTGGCCAAGGCCGAGGGGAGCCCAACTGCCATCCTCATCGGCTGCCTGGTGGCTATCATCCTGCTGCTGCTGCTCATCATCGCCCTCATGCTGTGGCGGCTACACTGGCGCAGGCTCCTCAGCAAGGTGGGTGGACTGGGATGGCGCTTGGGGCCACCAGGAGTGGGGCCGCCTGGGGAGGGACGGACGTGGGATGAGGCCAGTAGTGTGCGTTGGACTCCTATGTTCATTAGGGCCCAGCAGGGACCACAGAGCACAGTCTGGTCAGAATAATAATCATCATTAATAAAGAGACCTTGTACAAAGGTGTGGGCGGGGTGTGTGGAAATCTCGAGAAGCAGTGCAGTTCCCTAGGCCTGGTCACCGCAGAGCTGCTTCCATCCCTGGGCCCCGGGGGTTGAGAGGAGGTGGCTGTTACCAGAACCCAGGAGGAACGAGCGTGGAGACGGCGCCTGAGAGGGGCGGCGGGCTTTGGTTCAGTCATGCAGCTGGCCTGGGTCCATCCCTCGGGGAGGGGCTGGGAGAATAGACACCCTGACCTCACTTGCTGCCTGCCCTCCAAACTCCTGCTGGGGCTCCTCTCTGGCCATTGGTGCGGTCCACACTGGTCAGCCTCTTGGGGCCATAGCTGGGTGGGAAAAGGCCGCGAGTAGAGCTAGAGGAGCGACCAGAAGTCTGGTGCCTCCCAAGCCCATGACTTCAGGCGGGAGTCCAGTGGTGGTGATACGTGTTGAAGTTTATGGACTGGTAGGATGTCATGGCTGGAACTCACTTAAATGCTCTTGAGCCTCTGTTTCTTCACCTGTGAGGTGGAATTAATAGTAGATGCAACTGTAGGAACGTTGTGAGGACGGAAGAAGGGAACACAGGTATAGCACTTAACAAAGAGCTGGGAAGTGTGCACTAAGTAGTAGCCGCCACTAATGTTTCCCATTCCCCACGACAAGGCTGAGCGGCGGGTATTAGAAGAGGAGCTGACGGTTCACCTCTCTGTCCCTGGGGACACCATCCTCATCAACAACCGCCCAGGTCCTCGAGAGCCACCCCCTTACCAGGAGCCCCGACCTCGTGGGAATCCGCCCCACTCTGCTCCCAGCATCCCTAATGGCTCTGGTAAGACCTGCCTTGTTCCAGTGCCACCTCCATCCTCTCTGTCGTCTTCTTGTGTATCCCTCTCCTTTACCGTTCCCTGCTTTTCCTGTCTTCCCTAGTTTCAACTTATTTTTCTTATTTGGTCCCTGGTCACCACCTTCTATATTACTCTTATGTCCCTCCCACATAATCCCTTGGGAATTTCCCACATATCACCCATAACCCCCAGTGGTCTCATTCTGTCTCTGTGTCTCGTACACATCCCTCTCTCTTCTCTGTTGTGCCCTCTCATTGTGTCTTCCTGGCTCCTGTCCTTTCTCCTACACTACCATGTTCATTCTGCCCTCCATCAACTCATCCAGTATCCATCCCTCCACTCATCCATCCATCCATCTATATATATATATCCATTTATCCATTCCTCATTCATCCATTTGTCCATCTATCCATCCATATATATTCATCCATCCATTTGTCTGTCTTATCCATCCATCCATTTCCCTTTATCCATCCATCACCTACCCATCCAGTTATCCAGCACTCCAGATCCTTGTTCTGTCCTGTCTCTGTCTCTTAGTACATTCGTTCTCATCAGCCCTAGTCTCGCCCTATTCTGGGTCTCCCTGTCTGTCTAGCCTTGAGTCTCATCCCTTCCCCGTGTTCCCCCCTTCCTTCTCCCGACAGCGTTGCTGCTCTCCAATCCAGCCTACCGCCTCCTTCTGGCCACTTACGCCCGCCCCTCTCGAGGCCCGGGCCCCCCCACACCCGCCTGGGCCAAACCCACCAACACCCAGGGTAAGCCCCTCTGCCCCGGGCTCCGCCAAGCTCCTGTACCTCTACTGGGGCAGGGAAAAGTCCTCACACTTTGCACTCCCTCCTCTCCCCACTGTGGCCTCTTCTGCTCTCCTGAGCTCCCAAGGAGGAAGCTCTTGTGCCCTTAGCTCTCCTCTGCTGCTGCTTGCTCCTTTTTAAGGCCCTGCCCCTCCCCACCTTGAACTGAGGAGTAGAAAGCTCCGTGGTTCTCAGCTCTGTCCCCCTCCTCCTCTCCCATTGCTTCAGCTCTCCAGAGCCAGAGGAGGTGACCCCTCCTTCACCCTGCCCTCTCTCTAGAGCTTCGAGGAGGGCCTCACCCTGGGTGCCTGCCCTCTCCCCCAGTGTGTCCTCTCCTTGCCCGCACCCCGCCCTTCCTGTCTGCTCCCCTTCTCCTCCATGTTGCCTTCTTTTGTTGCTGAGGGGACAGCTCTGCTTCCTCTCCTGTCTGTAGACTCCCTGTTGTGCGGGCCATGAGGAAGTGTTCCCCTCCCTGTCTCTGTGTGCCCCTGTCCGTGCCTGTCTTTGAGCTTGGCGTGTTGGGTCAGGGAGGGTTTGGGTAGCCATGGCAGGGCCAAACAGCTATGTGAATGGGAGGGGGACAAGGGTTCGGAAAGTGGAGGGTAACTAGATGGCTGCGACCATCCCTCTTCCGATGATGGGCAGAGGAATTCCACTTTTAGCCGAGACTCCCCACAGTCTTGGGTTGTGCTGGGATCCCTAGAGAAGACTTTACAACATTCTTTGCTCAGCCATTTCCACTGCTTTTAAAGCTCTGTCACAGCTAACTCTTATCCAGCAGTGCCTTCTCTGGCTGGAGGCTGGTGGGTAGAATACCAGGAGGATGGAGGGTAGACCCAGTCTCTCACCCAACTGGGAGATGGGGGGGCTTCTGGGAGGCACGAGTGTGGAGAACCGTGGCTCTCAGGGGCTGTCCCTGATGCCTTGTCCTGTCTTCTTTCCCCTTACCCCTCCAGCCTGCAGTGGGGACTATATGGAGCCTGAGAAGCCGGGTGCCCCGCTTCTGCCCCCACCTCCCCAGAACAGCGTCCCCCATTATGCCGAGGCTGACATTGTCACCCTGCAGGGCGTCACCGGGGGCAACACCTATGCTGTGCCTGCGCTGCCCCCAGGGGCGGCTGGGGATGGGCCCCCCAGAGTGGATTTCCCTCGTTCGCGGCTCCGGTTCAAGGAGAAGCTTGGCGAGGGCCAGTTTGGGGAGGTAAGAAGGGCCCTGCCAGCCATCAGTGTCTGCCTGTCTGGGGCTCTGATGCCGTGCCCACACAACCCCTTGGCCAGGAACCTGTCACCTATGACTTGTCCCAGGTGACCCTGTCACCTTGGTGGACCTTGTGACCCCCTGGCACATCGCCTCCTTTCTTCAGGTCCACCTGTGTGAGATAGATAGCCCTCAAGACCTGGTCAGTCTTGATTTCCCCCTCAATGTGCGCAAGGGACACCCGTTGCTGGTAGCTGTCAAGATCCTACGGCCAGATGCCACCAAGAATGCCAGGTGAGGACCAGAGATGGCGTCCAGAAGAAGGGAGCAGAGGCGGTGAAGAGCAGGGAGCGATTCAGAGAGAAACCTGGTGGAGGCCAACAGAGGGGGAGCGTCCTGGGACTAGAGGGTTGGTGCCCATGCAGGGTGGGGCACTGGACCACAGGAGCTGGGGGGGATGGTGCAGGTCAGCCCCTTGGCTCCCTGCCACCTTCTCCCTGCTTCTTCAGGAATGATTTCCTGAAGGAGGTGAAGATCATGTCCAGGCTAAAGGACCCAAACATCATCCGGCTCCTGGGCGTGTGTGTGCAGGACGACCCCCTCTGCATGATCACAGACTACATGGAGAACGGCGACCTCAACCAGTTCCTCAGCGCCCACCAGCTAGAGGACAAGGCGGCAGAGGGGGCTGGGGCTGGGGAGGCTGCCCAGGGGCCCACCATCAGGTACCCACTTGTCTAGGCTGACCCTTCCTTGAGAGTTCCCCAAGGGGGTCTCCTGCTCTCCCCTCACTCCAGCTTAGAGGGAAAGGGGGGAGCATGGGGTGGGCAGGCAGGTAGAGGTTCCAGGAGGAGGCCTGGGGTGAGACAGGTGGCTGTGTTCATCCAGAACCCGAGGGGCAGAAAGGCCAGAGATGACGACAGTGAGGGTGGTGGAGGGATGTGGACTTTGTCAGGAAGTTCCCTGTGCCCTCTCACCCTCTCTGCCCGAGGCCAGGTTGGGGAGCATAATGAAATCAGTTAACTCCCTGCTGTTGGGTGAGCTCAAGAAAGGTTGAGTGGGCACCTTCCCAAGGGCCTCCACCTGGGCTTTCCATCTCTGCACAGGAGGAGGGGTAACCCAGTCCTGCGGAAAGGGTGCCCCTTCGTCTCCTGGGAAATCTGTGATGTGGGGATGACCCCTGTAACCCTCTGTTGTTGGCTCTTGTACTCAGCTACCCGATGTTGCTGCATGTGGCAGCCCAGATTGCCTCGGGCATGCGCTATCTGGCCACACTCAATTTTGTGCATCGGGACCTGGCTACGAGGAACTGCCTGGTTGGGGAAAACTTCACCATCAAAATCGCCGACTTTGGCATGAGCCGGAACCTCTATGCCGGGGACTATTACCGTGTGCAAGGCCGGGCGGTGCTGCCCATCCGGTGGATGGCCTGGGAGTGCATCCTCATGGTGAGAGGCTCCGAGAGGCGGGCAGAGAGGGGAGGTCGGGAACACTGGCTGCCACTTGAAGCTCTGGGATCTCGTTCAGTCACTTGATTCCCTGGACTGCAGTTTCCTCACCTATAAAGGGAGGGTTTGGACCAGTGCTCTATGAGGTTCCCTCTGGCTCAGGGACTGGAGAAAACAGGGAGGTATGGTGTGATGGGAGAGGGTCCAGGAGCCAGGAGTGGGTATGAGAAATGGAGTCAGGGTAGCAGAAAACAAGAGAGATAAGGAGGCTAGAGATAGAAGGCGATGAGCTGGGAGAGTCAGGACCAGAAAAAGGGGGGAAGGATGGGTAGAAACTGGAAGATGTAAGGGAGAGGACTAAAAGGAGGCAGAGCGGAGGAGAGGAACAGGCTTAGTGGGAAAGAGGGCCAGCTAAGGAGGGTGGAGCCCCAGGGGTTGGGAGGGAGTCAGGGGGCTGTGGGTGGAGGTGATGCTGAGTGAATGTGGGGCCCCGGTGGGGAGTGGAGGAGGGTCTCTGTTGCCTTATGTCTCTCTTGGCCTCTGTTGCCTTATCCATGCACCAGGGGAAGTTCACGACCGCAAGTGATGTGTGGGCCTTCGGGGTGACCCTGTGGGAGGTGCTGATGCTCTGCAGGGCCCAGCCCTTTGGGCAGCTCACCGATGAGCAAGTCATCGAGAACGCAGGAGAGTTCTTCCGGGACCAGGGCCGGCAGGTCAGAGCAGAGGGGAGGGAACATGGGGCTGGGGGGTTCAGGATGGCCACAATGTCATTTTGGGGACTGAAGAACATTTGTTTCCTGCCTTTCGTCCACACTGCCACAATGTAGGTGTACCTGTCCCGGCCCCCAGCCTGCCCACTGGGCCTGTATGAGCTGATGCTTCGGTGCTGGAGCCGGGAGGCTGAGCAGCGACCACCCTTTTCCCAGCTGCATCGGTTCCTGGCAGAAGATGCGCTCAACACAGTGTGAATCACGACACCTAGCCATCCCTCCCTCAGGGAGGATTCAGGGGAGGCCAACAGCACTAAACAAGAGGAGCTAATGGCACCACACTCCATTCCCTCCTGACCACCCGTCACTTCTGAGAGAGGCAGTGTGGCTGCAGGTGGGCTGGGCCTGCCAGGGAGCTGCCGCCCTCCCTTCCCCGGACACGCTCTTGTGCCCCCTTCCTGCTCCTCTCCTGCCGCCCACCCAGCTGGCCCTGTGGATGGGCTCCTCTCTGACCTCCTCTCACTGTCCCTTGTGGGAGGGTGGGGGCAAATACAGGGCAGACACTGGACCTGACCCACTGGAGCACCTGGGCCCCCCTGGACAACACTGGTTCCTGGAGAGAAGGCTGTGGCCTCCAGCCGCTCTCTCTCCGTCACACACTGGACCCTGCTGGCTGAGAATGTGGGGAGTGAGGAGGACAAGAAAGGGAGAAAGAGGTTCCCTTGTGCCTCATCCTGGAATTGCCTTCAGCTTTGGCCTCTCCCTCCATCCTCTGAAACACTGGACGTGGGGGTGATCCCTGCCCCACCCCCAGCCTCCCCACTTCCCACCTGCCGTGCTATAGCTAGAACTGCTCTAAGCCTGTATGTTTCTGTGGAATAAATATTGGGATTAGAGGGAAAGAGAGGAATGGCCTGTGGCCCTGGGGTTGGACATCTCTATCGTAGCTGCCACATTGGTTTTTCTATAATCACTTGGGGTTTGTACATTTTTGGGGGGAGAGACACAGATTTTTACACTAATATATGGATCTAGCTCAATGCTATTTTAATCCCCTGCACTAGGCAGGTAATAATAAAGGTTGAGTTTTCCACAGCTGTGAGTGGGTTTCTTGGGGTTTTGGTGAAACCTGCCTCCTGCCCCTTCCCCGCCAAGTCTATCTCCTTTCTTCCTTTCCCTCTTTTTAATTCTCCCCATTCCATTTCCTACCATGTGTTTTGCCCAGCATAGTGTTCTGTTTCTCCATAAGGGAGGCCCTTGCCTGTGGGACCTAAGGTCCCCATAAATGTGTGAACTTTTGTCAACCTGAACAGAAACTCTGCAGGAGGCCTGAAGGGAGGTGGGTTAGGCCACGGGTCAACGTCGTCTGACCCATGGACCCCTTTGGCAGTCTGGAGAGGTCTACTGATTCTTCCTCAGAATTACGTTTTAAAACCCATTAAAAAAGTTATATGTGTGTAAAATGTATAATTATGAATACATATATAACAGGAAATCAAATGAAAAGAGTTTACCAAAATGTTAAAAAATTATGATATACTAATATGTGCTCCTTTTAAATATATTTAATAACAAGACCTAGCAGCAGATGTAATAATTACTGACATTTTCAAATAGCAATGAGCATAAATGACATTCTGAGATTTCTACAACTGTAGTGGGATAGAAAAATAGCTGTGGTGTCTATTAGTGACAAGTCACAGGTGTTAGTAATACTATTGGGGGTTTTGCCCACATTCATACTTGGAGGAAATGCTAAATTTCAGTTAGAGGTTAATAAAAATAGAGGTGTAATTTTTAATTCTTGCCAAAATTCTAGGAACCCCCTTCCTATGTCCCAGGCTCTGCAAGTCCCAAGTTGAGAATCCCTGGATTAGGCTGATCAAATATGCAAGTAACACAGTAGGTGTGAACTGTTTGGGAGCCGTCTCAGAGGCTTGGAAGGATGAGCCACAACCACCAAGAGAACATTTAACAGAGTTCAAATTTGGTTGGAAAGAAAAAAAAAAAATCAGTGGCCAGTACTGGAAAAGGCAGACCCATCTTGATGGCAGTTCATGTGAAATAAAGCCCCTGGGGTCTTGGTTGATGACATTCACAAAATGAGCCAACTGGATAATGAGGATGACAATAAAGATAACTTAATCTAAGGTTGTATTAATAGGCCCTTGAGGTTCCAGCTCACACATCTGAGTCCTGTTGGAACCTACATAGGTCAGACCACTGTGACTGATGATTTAAGACAAGCACTGAGGCCAGAACCCAGAATGGTGAGCAAAAGAAGCCATGGTGGTGAGCCGAGAACTCTCAAATCTCTGAGCTCAGAAACTTAAGCTCTAGACCTACACAACCACCTAGGGATCATCTGAATGTCAGTCTCAGCACGTTCAAACTGGCGGCTCCTCCCTGGTTCTCTGACTCAGTGAACCGCAGCTCAGCTGAACAAGCCAGAAACCTGGGGATCATCCTTGATATTCCTCCCTTACTCTTACCTCCCAAGTCCAGTCTATCAAGAAGTTCTGTGGACTTTACATCCCAAATTCCCCTAAAATTCATCACTTCTGTCTCTATCGCCATCCGGGCACATGCTACCTCCATCTTGCCTGGACCACCATAGTAGTTCCCCAGGAGTGTTTCTGTTCCTCTCTGGTTTGTTTTCAGCCCTGCAGCCAGCATGATCTTTAAAACACAAATCTGAGCCCACTCCTTTATTTCAAACCCTTTACTGGCCTCCCATTGACCTTAGAATAAAGAACAAAGTCTTCTTGTCCAAGTTTGCCTCCCCTCCCAGCAGTGTATACATCGGCCCTCTTCTTGTTCCTCTAAGGAGCCACAGTCCTCTCTGCCACATGGCCTTCGTAGCTTTCTGTTCCTCTACCTGGAACCCAGTTCCCTGCTATCTGGCTCGTTAACTCTTATCTTACTTGTCCTTCAGCAGTCCTCCCTGACTTGCCCGATCAAGTCAAATCCCCTCTTGACGCTCTCAGAGCACATGACTCTCTTCTTTGTAGCACTTACTACAGGTGTGATTTACATGTCTGTTTGTCTTTTTAAGAGGATAATGATGATCATATTTACTGAGCACCCTCAATGTGCCAGGTACCATATCTTATTTAGTACAACATATGAAGTAGCGAAAATTATTGTCATTTCACAGAGATGAAAACCTCTCTGTTAGGTCAGCAATGTGCCCAAGGCAGCACAGCCAGGACATGGAGAAGCTGATGGAAACTGTCAGCTCCTGGCTCTCTGTTCTTTCTCTCCAGGATGCTACATGAAGGGAAGAGGTATTACCATTACCCTCACAGGAAGTTTTCAAGCACAACCTGGATAGCCCTGTATCAGGGAGCTCTTTCCACACTCTCAGCTCCTAGGAGCCCAGACTGATTCTCTTTCTCACATCAGATACCTTGCATCCCTTAGAGCAGGGCTCTCCAAGGGAACTCTGCGATCATGGAAATGGTCTCCATCTGCACCATCCAAAAGGTAGCCATGAGCCACATGTGGCTATTAATTATTTGAAATAGGACTAATGTGACCAAGCAATTGAGTATAAAATTTATTTTAGTTAATTAAATTTAAATTGAAATAGCCACAGGTGACTAGCAGCTCCTGTTCTAGACAGCGTAGCCTTAGTTTTCCCTACACTGTAGGGAACGTGACCAGGTCTACCCAGCTCCCTTACTGGCTCCAGTCAAAATGAAGCATGTGGCCTATTTCAGTTTTACACACACAGAAAACCTCTTACTTATAAAGATGGCATTGGACTATGTATCCCACTTTGTAATCTGCTTTCCTCCCCCTCATGACAGATGGTATATAGGCAGGCCAGTATGTATACTGATCTCCTCTCCAAATGCTGCCCAGGATTCTACATTCCAGTGAGCCACATTTTATCTCACCAACTCCCAATGATGGACATTTGGACTGTTTCCATTGTCTTCATACTACTACAACAAACATTTCATAACATCTCTGCATGTATATCTCTGTATCCATCTAGGAGAATTTCAGTATGCTATGTTCTTAACGGTGGAGTCGCCAGGTCAAAGGGCAATCACATTAAAATTGTTGGTACATACTGCCAAACCACCCTTAGAAAGGTGTGCTTATGTCAACCTTCCACAAAAGTATATGAGTACGCTCATGTACACTGAGGCCAAAATTGAGATTGTCAATCCTTAAATTTTTTTTTCTAATTGGATATTTTATTGTTTCTTTCTTTATTTTTCCTTAATTACCAGTGAAGAGTTTCTTCATTTGGTTTCAAGGCACTTGTATTTCTTCTGTTTATTCCCTGTTATTTCTTAATATTTCTATTGTGTTATTTCTTTTTCTTATTGCTGTATAAGAGCTCTTTGTATTTTGTCTATTTTGTCAAATATTTCTTCCCAGACTGTGAATTGTCTCTTAACCTTATTTAACGTTTTCCATAAAGAAGCTTTCTCAGTTTTGCGTCGTTTTTTGTGGATTTTAAACATTGCTAAAGAGATGTAACAAAACAAGCATGGGTGGGCTACAAGTAAAA